CAACTACTACGATAACAACTACCACGACAACAACTACAAAAACAACAACAACAACCACAGCAACTGCTACGACAACAGCAGGTAATTAATAATATTTTTCGATGTCAAAATCAATCAAATAATCTGATGGGAAATCGAGAACTTGAGCACAGTATCTATAGTAGTGAACTACATAGGAGTCTGAAACTCGATTTCGTCTCTATTAGAGTCGCATTTATTGCCTTTGCGATATTAGATCGACGAAAAAGCATCGAAGATCAAGTTGTTAAATAATTAGGACCAATATGAAGAAAATGTTTTCCTAATTAATTTTTATTTGTTCGAAGTTAAAACATTTAGATTGTTCTCTTTTCATTACAGTATATCATAGAAATCTTTGGATCTTACATTATCATGTAGTATTCTATATATCTTTAATGCATTAATAAAGAATGCTCTCTAAGGTTCAATTCATTTAGTAATCGAAAAACTTCCATAGAACGTTATAAATGTACTGAGTTGATTCTTTCCAAAATATCTAACAAAGATTTCGTGACCGACTGATAGTAAAGTACTTTTGTGAGTATCCGACTAGAACTAGTTTAGTACACAGATAGTTTGAACCCAGTACTTTCACTATAGCTCTCATATTTCAATCACTAAATCTGAATGTTTGAAAGAATTTTTTCTTCGTTTTGATAGTACCGTTTCCATTGAGTGGCGTTACAGTGGCTGGATATGGAAATGGTACGGCTGGGAATAACAGCAATGGTTTACAATTTCCATGGGGTGTGATACCAACTGCAGACGATTTCCTGTACGTTGCTGATTTTCGCAATAGTAGAGTGATGAAATTCAAAGAAGGAAACGTCACAGGAACAATGATTGGAGGCACAGGAGTGAGCGGAAATGCCATGAACCAACTAAACTGTCCAGCAACCATAGTTCTTGATACTGCTTCGAATCTTTACATGAATGATGATCTCAACTGCAGAGTGATGCGCTGGCGTCAGAATTCAACATCTGGTAGCATGGTGGCGGGTACTGGATTAAATGGAACCTCAACAAGTCGGATTGGTTACGCAGTTGGATTGGCTGTCGATTCGCAAGGGAATATGTACGTAGCTGAGTATCAAAACCATCGAGTAACGAAATGGGCTCCAAATGCTACGAACGGCACAGTGGTAGCTGGGAAGACAGGGATAGCGGGAAATACCAGTCAGCTACTGAATCAGCCGTACGGATTATTCCTCGATGAGAATAGTTCGTATCTCTACATTGCTGATATGCTGAATAATCGAATTCAGCGATACACTCTCGGCATTACAGCAAATGGTACTACTGTAGCTGGCGGAAATGGAGTAGGAAATAATAGTAATCAGCTCAATCAGCCTTATAGTGTTTACGTTTCCAAGAAAACAGGTGATATATACATTGCCGACAAAGCAAATCATAGAATTCAACGCTGGACTCCGGGACATACAAGCGGAGAAACGATCACTGGAATAACCGGAGTAGCCCTAGGTAATGCGACTGGGCTGTCGGCACCTGGCTATGTTACTTTAAATGCAAACGAAAGCTTTATGTATGTAGCCGATAGGAATAATCACAGAGTGCAACGATACAAACTACCGTAATCAATTTGATACATGGCTATTAGCTATTGAACACTAACCACAGTATATATCAAACACACTATCATTTTCCTCCGATCTGATGTAACTTTTTCTTGTATATAGATTTCAAGATATTAAAATTTTATTTTCACTGTGTGATTAAATGTATCCACACGACATGTGTTAATCATTTTTGATACCTTAGTTTCTCACTATTACACTTCATCATAAAATGTTTCTCGTGAATGTTTTCGACAGAAGAATCGAAGTTCTGTATAGTTAGTCTTGTCCATGCATGGGTAGGTAAATATACTCATGGTTAATTATATGTTCTGATTAGATTATTTATGGTTTTATCTGACTAAGTCATTGTCTAATAATATATTGCTCATATAATCTTCGATTTTCTAAATGTTTGAGGATGTGGGTGAATAGAGAACGAGCAAATCCTCACCATAACTCTCACTCGACATTTTTCGAATAGCAACAAGAAAATTCATTTCAATTCAAAATTCTATATATAATAAACTATTTATTAATATGAATAATATTCGAATTAATCTTATTCCAATAATAACTTATGAGGAACAATCAAAAATTCATCTTAGAACATTGAAATGAAAATAATAGAAATACAATAAAAATGACGATTTCTTATATTGTAAATATCATATCATAATTTTGATAATCAAAATTTCTAAGTAAAAGATCATAAGTCCATGTAAATCCAGGCCATATAGTTGTATTATTTCCTTTTGAATCTTGATACCATGAATGACAACCACCAACTTGCCAAACACTTTTCTTTAATTTTAATTGTATTTCTTTATTAAACTTATTAGCAATATTTTCTTTCACAGCCATTGCACGAATTCCATTCTCTTGCATATAAATCAATGCTTCCATAATATATTTCAATTGTGCTTCAATCATTACTACTACAGAATTATGTCCAAGACCTGTATTTGGACCGAGAAGAAGAAACATATTAGGAAAATTAGGTACAGTAACAGTACGATAAGCCTTAACATATAGAAAAATACGCATATTTTATTTTTCAAAGCAAAAATACCTGAACAGCTTGTGACCATTGTTTTTCAAGCGATTGACTTTGAATTCCAAACATAGGAATATGGACTGAATGAACATTAAATCCAGTAGCCCATATAATAATATCAATTTCATATTCATTTCCATCATAAGTAACAATTGAATTTGATTTTATTTGTTTTATTCGATTTGTAATAAGATTAACATTTGATTGTTGTATTGTTGAATACCAATCAGTACTTAATAAAATTCTTTTACAACCAAAATCTGATTTTGGCATTAATTTTTCACGTAAAATTGGATCTTTAACTTGATAAAAAAAATAGATATCGAACTAATTTTTGTGCAATTAAACGAATAGGTAATCGATAAACAAATGATAGAACAGTTGATTCAAGTCTCCAATAAGTACAAGCTCGAAGAAATTTTTGAATACATGGAATAAAAGTAAATAATTTCTTTTCAAATTGTGTTAATGTTCGATTTTTTGAATAAGTAACCCAAGGTGGTGTTCGTTGAAAAACATATAAATGTGAAATATCATAATTTTTATGTAGTTCAGGTACACATTGTATTGCACTTGAACCAGTACCAATCACAGCAATTCGTTTTCCTTGAAAATTTATTTTATCATTCTATTCAGCTGTATGACACATTTCACCTTGAAAACTTTCTAATCCTTCAATATCTTTTGGATACCATCTTGTGGGTGTGGGTGTGAGTGTGAGTGTCCCTTGTTGATCTAAAGCGAGCACGCATCCAACCACACTCACACCCTCACAGAAGATCAAAACATTTCATTTTTTAGCAACAATAATAGAGTATCAAGATTAACACATGAGTTTCTTGTTCTATCGTACTAATAATTCTCTTTTAATTTTTTCTCGTTTTGTAAGTGGTGTTTTTCCATGTTATAATTTATGTATGCGGTGGCAAAAAAAGATACTTGTGTATCAACATATTATGATTGAATGAATTGTTCGGGTAGAAGAATCATTTAATAGCGTCAGTTATTCGAATTATATTTAAATATATTTCCTTATTAATAAAAGTCATATCATTGTCTTACTTATCAGTATCAATTTTTTTATAGCACTGATCGACATCAGCATAGGTTCCAAGACGAATGTTGTATTTAATCAAAAGCTGTCGGAATTCTTCACTGAACAATAGATCAAATTCGTGTTGACGATCGAACGAACAAGAAAATTCATCCGGCTGTCCCGTTCCACAACCCCCGATGAATGTGTCACTTGGATAACCTGGATGACACATTAATTCGGCAATATTCGATGTTGTATTTAGTGTAAACATTTCCAAACGTCTTTCGAGATTGTCATATGTCATTGCTTGGCCCATAGTCGTTAGACCAATAAAATAGGATGGATAACAAAGACCGTAGCGATTAAAAATGGTGCGAGCATTGCAAGCTTGTTCGATAACGGTTTGATAGAATGGTTCTGGATTCGACTTGGTGAGAATCGCTTGATCAAACGGCACACGAATATATTTAACATTGAAACGGCTCGCTTGCCGAGCAATGCATTCAGCTAACATTGGATGAATATGAATATGCTGATGACCATCGATATGCATCGGATATTGTTCGTTTGTTGTCCATTGTCGATATTGACGAAATTGCATCTCAATTTCATATTCAACATGAGTCATATCGATAGATCCTTGATCGATTGCATTACGTAGACCCATTTTACCATGCATCATACCATATGCATCGACTAATGACGAAATACGATTTAAATCGGTCGTAATTGGTCGACCCTCAGTCAGATTTAAATGTAAACCGATTGGAATGTGATGGAGTGTAGCCAATTTATGAGCTTCACTCGTATAATCTCCATTGATCAATAAGCTGGTTGATGAAATTGCCTGTCGGCGAAAAAGATCCACAATAGCAGCATTTCGTCTAGGACAATAGCCAAAATCGTCGGCATTGATGATGAGAACCTTTGTGGTAGATGACATGATTAAATATATCGGTTGTAAATCTAAAATAAACTATATTTTACAAACTTTTCTAAATTTTTTAAAGAGCTTCTATTGTTTACGACTTATGTGGACGTGATTCACCGTTTTTGAAAATAGTAAATAATGAAAATATATCTGTATCACAAACGTCCTTTAAAAAATCTTTGTGGACCTTGCTTCATATCACCTCATGTAAAAGTGATAAGAAAAAAAAGGGTCGTTGAATTCATTTATAAGATTTTTTTAAAATAAAATCGGATGCTTCTCAACGTTGTTTCAATGCACATTTGAGTGTTTACAAAAACAGATCTTTCGAGTCTATTGTTTTTTTTTAAACGTATATTGATGTTTTTGTTTTGTAGTTAAACTAAATCAATCAAATCTAATTTATTGAACAAGTAATACGATCGATAACAATGACCAATGCTAATATAAAACGTGTTCTCCTACTTGCTCCATTGAGTCCAGGTAGTGGCAATGCTGCGACAGCTTTTCGTCTCACAGATGGTCTACGTCATTCATCCCAAATCTTTGTTGATTGTATATCGGTTGATACGCCACGCATAGAATCTGATTCATTGTTAGACTCGATTCGTCAATATGATGCTGTTCTAGCATTACATGCTTATCGCGCTGGTCGCTTATTGACATCGATCTACCAAAATAATTCTGATCTTCCACCACTTATCCTTATTTTTGCCGGAACTGATTTACATTCATGTGAACCTGAATGGTTACCAACTATCGAACAAATTGTCCCGAAAGCTCGTGGACTGGTTTGTTTTAGTTTTGAATGGAAAAAGTATGCAGAAAATATTTATAAAAATTTACTCACTTGTTGTATTACCGTCATTCCACAAAGTGTTCAAATGTCACCATCGATCTCCGAACGATTGCCACCATCAACATCATTTTCATCCTTACCAAAGACAATCATTTGGGCAGGTGGAATTCGAGAGGTAAAAGATCCACTTCTTGCTATTCGTATTATGTCTCATTTACCTGATCACGAATTTCAATTAATTATTGTCGGTTATGAAGCAGACCCTTCTCTTGTTAACGTTATTCATTCTTCATGTTTAGGTTCAAATATAACTCTAATCGGTGGTCAATCTACAGACTATGTACATGAACTTATGTGCTCCGCATTCGCGTGTCTAAATACTTCTATTAACGAAGGCATGTGTTTGGTCATTCTCGAAGCCATGGCACTGAGACTTCCGGTTGTTGCTCGACGAAATATCGGAAATATCAGCATTATTCGAGATGGTCAAACTGGATTACTATACGAAACAGCAGAGCAAGCAGCTGAATGTCTATTACAACTAGCGATGGACACGAAATTACGAGAGACCGTCATTCAACAAGCAGCTGAGCAAGTAAAGACATTCCACAATCCTGAATCGGAAAGTACAGCGTATCAAAATCTTATCCTTAGTTTAATTAAATAAATGTTATATTGTTCTTGCACCACACCCACACCCTGTAGTCGTAAAACAGAAAACGAGAATGAATCATTATAAGTTTCATTCTATTGTGTAACGTTATCTTGAATGCATATATATGAGGTATTTTCTGATATCTCTTACAAGCAAACAAGAGATTTTTTCAAGGTAAATAATATTCTTGCCAGTAAAAAAGAAAACGAGTGATTCTTATCAGCTTTAAGTATTAACTTTGTTTGCTACATACTCTTTCAAAGTCGCTATAATAAAACATTATTTAATTTTGTCTATAACTCATAAATCAGATGTCTTTTACGCATTACTTGAGGGTGTGGGTATTGAATGAGAAGAATACACACACCCATACCCTTAAGATGGTTAATTTTTTATGTTACAAGAAACATCTAGACTTTATTATATTTTCATACAGTGTTAAATAAAAGAAAAAAAAGGTGAGAGTTACGATACGTGTTCGTCTTCTGCTTATCCATAGCTAGATCTCATACCCCGAAGAATATATAAAGCTTCTTATAATTGTTTACGAATCTCTGCCAATAGAGTATCGAGTTTTTTGACATCTTTACCAAGAAGATCTACAAGACGTTTACGTGCTTTTTGCACGATACCATACCACATTGATGAATGCATAGCAAATCGTGTTTCGAACACAGCAATAACAATAGCTGGTGTAAGTATTTGATTACTCGCTAAGTGTTGAAATGCAGTCAATGGTTTTCCAGTCAAGCGTTCAAGGCTTTTTGAATCTAAATCCCAGCTACCATCAAATTTTTGTTTATCAATCAATTGACGAATAATATCTTGGCCATTCGTAGGCCAGACATCATCTGCTTGCGTTTGAACATTGTGAGACGTTTTATCGACATTTTGGTAAAAGGGGTCGAAGTCGTTTAACATATAAGCAGATGATAATGCGCTTTTAAAAGAATTATTTGATAGTTTGTTCGTTGGCTTATACAAAAAGAAGATAGAAAATAAGACTAAAGAGAACTAAAATAAATACAATACTTGTAAGGGTGTAGTAATATCGAAATCGGCACACAAACAGTCGAAAGCAGGCATTGATCGAGTCATTTGAAGTGGTGAATAATGAGAAACATTTGCATTTGCAGTATGACACATTTGGGTAGTAAAAATATCAAAAAGGTCTACGTTAGAGTTCATCGTCTGCAACGAAGGCATTGGAGAATTTATTTGTAAATGTTGATCATCAGCTGATATTTGTATGAGTACTTCACGCAAGACCATATCAGCATTACTCGTATCCATTCGTTTCTCAACACCAACAAAAGCTGTATGAGGACTGAGAATATTATATTTTAGTGATAATTCAATGATACGTTTCTTTGTTAATTCTTTCGTAGCTTCATCATCGTTATGATGTTTTTTAAATCGAGTTTGTAATGAACCTGTATTATTTTTTTGTGTTGATGATGGCAATTTTTCATGTTGTAATTCAAGAATAAGTGCCTTAGCTGCCAATCGAGCAATCATCTTATCATTACTTACAGCAGGCGTATATGTTACTTTTGCTTTACCTAATTGAGATCGTTCAGTTGCTAATAGAACAGTTGAATTATGATCGAATCGAGCCGATTTATCTTGTATAAGAGCATAAACAATAAGACGATCATCAGCATAAACTGGTGGAATATTTGTCGGAGCAGTTATTATCGCTTCTGTTCCCAAAGACCATTGTACTTTAACATTTGTAATACATAATTGTAATGCTTTTTGTAATTGTTCACCAATATGTACATCAACACTGGTGTGAGGAGGAATAAAAACAAATCGGCCATTTGTTGCTCGTGCTAAACCTTTCACAAGTGAGCGACTAGGAGAAGAACCTAATCCAAATGAAAAGATTCGAGTTGATGTAGCCATTGTTCGACAAAGATCAACTACTTCATCTACATTAGAAACTTCACCGTCAGTAAGAAGAAATATTTGACGTGCACGGCCTTGAATTGGTGGATTTTTATCAAGCCATTGCAGAGGTGTTAACTAAATAGATACAGTTATCGAAACAAGTGAAAGATAAAGATATACTCACTAATTCAGTACCACCTAAATCTGCTTTCATCGTCTTAGTAAGTTGTTCAGCTTTTTGCGCATTCGCTTCATTATATACAGCAGTGGTTTCTGAAAATAAACCTTGATGATTACTACCAAATCGAATTATATTGAAATAACAATTCATTGGAAGACTCTTGAGAAAGAGTAACATTGCTTGTCGAGCTAATTCAATCTTATTTTCATCGTTCATTGAACCACTACAATCAACAACAAAAATAAATTCATTCGTAATATCAGTATTACTCATGACACGTTGACAATCTTCTTCACTTGGTGTAAATGAAGCCATAACTGCATTGCTTTCAACAGCTAAAATTGTGTTCGAGTGGCTTTCAACAAGTTGCATGTCCAAGAGAATATCACGATCCAAAGATGTATTTTGGGTGTGGGTGTGAGTGTGGGTGTGGGTGTGGGTGTGGGTGGGTGTGGGTGGGTGGGTGTGGGTGGGTGGGTGTGGGTGGTGTGGGTGTGGGTGGTGTGGGTGGTGTGGGTGTGGGTGGTGTAGGTGTGGGTGGTGTGGGTGGTGTGGGTGTGGGTGTGGATGTGAATGAGATTTGTGTAGATATATGTGTTAATTACAAAAACTATAATATTTACAGTCACACCCAACCCACATTCATACCCACACCCACATCGACCCAAACTCACACTCACCTCCACACCGATACCCACATCTACACCCACACCCACCCACACCCTGTACGTGAGTTCCAGAGATGTCCATGGCGGCGGTGCCGCTGCCGCCGTGGCGTTCGCGGCGCGGCAGCAACTTTTGTCATAATGTCGCGGTAGCGGCTGCTTTTTCCAGAAACAATTTTAAAAATTACGAAATTTACACATAATCTCGACATTGACGTATTCCGCAATATAAAACTAGACGAATCTCATCGATTAGCAGAAACAGTACTCGTTTACACCACTCTCAGCCTTGAGAATCGGAAGATTTTTAAAAGTCCCGTCGCGGTAGCAGCAACTTTTTATAGGAGCGCGGTGCGGCAGCGGCGCCGCACACTTCTTTTTATTATAGTCGCGGTGCGGCAGCGGCAGATTCTCAACCGCGATGGACATCTCTCGTGAGTTCCACAAAATCCAACAATAGATAGTCGAGAATACATTTATTCTATGATAAAGTGAAAGATGATGTTTAGTTGTTTCATATAATTGACTGGAAACTTTATTTTCTAAGAATAAAAAAGATAATAGTAAGTCATTCACACGAAAATAATTGAGATCATTAAAAAACTTCTCGCACATGATTCTTGAGGATGTAAATGTGGATAAAAAACACTATCACTTGTTTTTCTGAAACTTATGGATTTTTTTAGTAAGATTAGATATTTTTATCAGTCAGTCAAGTTTTCTTTTTTTAGTTTCATTTGTAGTCGTTGAATTATAATCTTCTATTTCTTCAATTTCATTCGTTCGTTTTTTTGTTCTTGATGGTATGGATTGTGTTTTTTCTTTTTTAATTTCAGTCGAAAGAGTAATAATACAAGTATCTGTTGGATAAATAATTCGATCTTTCTCATTTGCTGCCATATAATCAATAAAAGGTAATTTATCTTTTGAATAATCAACAAAATCTTGCATCCATGAACTTGCTTTCAATGCATCAAGAGCACTAAAATTTGTCCATCTTCCAGGTATACAGAAAATAAATGTAGATTGAGATACTAAATGATTATCCAGTGCATTAAAAACATGATCGACAGCTAATTGTATAAGTGATTCATCATATGGAGGACTTACATAATAAGTCATATTTGAAGGCTGTTCTGCCCAATTTATGTTAAAGAAAGAACCACGTGATCCAAAAAAGACTTCAAGATCTGGAAAAGCTGAATGATATTGATCAAAATAATGATTGAAAGCAGAAGCAAAACATTCACAAACTGATGAATCATGTGGACTACGTTCTGTTTCTTCTTTATACGATCGAGCAAGACCATGACCTGTCAGACAGATATAAGTATATCGCAATCCAAGTGCATAAGCTGCATTGTAATAGTCAGGTCCATAGCGTTGTGCTAACTGATTGAAATCTTTTTGAGAACGATCTCGATAAATAAGTTTACCGTCTGTAGATGTAGACAATGTCACTTGTTTGTCCCTTCTAAACTTTTCGGAGCGTAACTGTGTTGCAGCACTCTCGAGTTCATGATCAATTATTTTAGCCAATTTTTCTGCACCTTTTAGATTTATGTTTTTTAGATCACGTTCAAGTTGATTTCTAGCAAGGGAAGATTTACCAATGATAAATACTGGATCAGATTTTGAATCAAACAGCGTTGCTTTTTTGTTGAATATATAACGTAAGAGAAGATGTGACATTTGCATTTCAGTTAAACGTTTACGATCATTCCGATCACTGTGATCAAATATCCAATTTTTGACGCATTTGAGTATATCTTCATACAATGTTTTACGTCTCAGTTCAACTTCTATCAATGTATGATGTGATGTAACATCAGTATTCTTCTGTAATTGTAATGCATAAATGTCATGCCCAGAAATTATACTACTCATTGTTTGTCTGTAAAGATTTTGTATGTGTAAATAAATTTATCTAAAATTATTTTGATATAATATATATTGAAGGTATGTGATTGTTTTTAAAAAGAAAAAGAAAATTGTAGTTAGTTATTTAATGGATGATTTTGATGGTTGGCTAATCGTAATCTCCATTCTTATATAGTGTATGTACAGAATAAAAATGGTTTTTTTCCATAGAAGAATGGCATCACATCGGCATTATGAAGTCGCTGAGCGTGAGTCAGTGGGATAAAAAAAACACGTCATACACTTTAATTCGCTGAAATGATTGCATTGAAAAGGTTGCATTAAAATGAAGTGTTCGTCTTTAATGAAAGGAAAATAAAACGACTGTAACTTTCAAGCCAAAACACATTTCATCTTGTGTAAGAACAGAAAAAAATCTGTCTTTTTGTATAAACAGAACGACAAAAAGGAGAAACAAACATATTTTGAATTCTAACTGAAAACAAGCAATCATATTCCTACAGATTCAGCATATGAAAAACATCTGAGTGTTGCCATAGATGTTAACTTGAATGATGATCAAAATATTCTATATTCTTTTATCCTCTATGAGATATGATCAAAATTGTTAATAAATAACAATATTCACATTGTTTAATTCTGTAACTTGCATCTAGAGAATTCTAATGAATGTCAGTAAAGCTCATCTTGGTTTTAAATACATTTGATCTAACAGAACTTGTAAATTGAATATTTCGGTTTTCAGTACGTTATTTACATATATTCATAAATTAATCAATATTTCATATAGATCCAAGGACGAAATAGAATATAAATGTTTTATTCGATTGACTACAATGAATCAAAATCGATCATTAATTTGTTTTTGTTTTCCTTACACTATTCAAAGCACAGTAGATCTTTATGTTATGAGTTTATTTTGTGCACTCTTCGGTTGACTAATAAATCTAATGTTATCTAACGTGAATTTTATTCTTATTATTTAAAACTTTTTTTTTATAGTAAACAATTCTTAGATACAAAATACACTCAAAAACAAAAATATATTATAAGTATATTTATTTTTAATCGTTGTGGAACACTATGATCAATTGAAATTGATTTTTTGAGATGATTGTTAAATGATATTCATTTTTCATATACGAAGTTTATTATCGAACTTCGATGATAAAGTATCAAGTTCATTTGAATAATCCGTCTAAAATAAATAATAAATAATAATCAATAGAATGAAATGACATTCAATGTTAATAATTTTAAATAAACATTAAATTCAAAGTAGATTTGTAATATGAAAATACTTCCTATCTTAAAAAGCAATTTACTTTAGTGGTAAATGGAAGAGACCATATCGGTTTGATACGTTCGTATCTTTCACACCTTTTGCATACTCCTTCCCATTTGTTTCCCTGTGGATAATATCCACAATAAGAACAACTTTCATCCAATTGAGTAGCACCCTCCCACCATGAATTGCTTGAATTTTTTCTATATACAGCTTTACATGTTTTTCGACTTGGAATAATTTCCAACGTTGCATGATACACTTCGATAGGGTGTTCGATCACTTTTGCAGGAATATCATATTGCTCGATTTTTTCCCAAGTCCATTGAGCATCTGAATATAGTCGAATATTCATATGGAGTGAGTCGTTCGGTATTCCACGCCATTTACGATCATTGATTCGATCTTTAATCTCTTTGAGAGTGGTATCAAATTTAAAGTTGGATGGGCAACTCATGAATAATGCGATAGGTTTATTCGCAAAGTTCTGATCAAATCGAAAATGATGAGTAGCACAGCCTATTTTTTGGGTTTTAAACAACGGCTCTTGTATCCTAACATTACTAATTGTAGGACGGAATGATTCAAACTGCTTTTTCAGTTGTTCTGGTTCAAGGCTACTTCCAAATTGAGCTAATGTAATTCTATAATAACCATCCCACATGTCAGGAATGGTTTTCGCATTTGTATTTGGTGCTAACATATCAAAATAGTTGTTAAATGCATTTAATCCTTGAAATTTCTGTTGATCAGGTAAACTGTGACAAGAAAACCCAAATTTCACTGGATCAATGGAGAAACAAACCATATATGAATATTGTTTTCTGTGGTCAGCCATGAATTGTGTTGAAGACTCGCTAAAAAGATTTTACACAAATTACAAATAATTGATTCTCTAACAAGAAAATGATAAATAATAAAAGCTTCATCAAATTTCTCACGATACAATGTAATTTAAAGAGAAATATTCATTTTAAAAATGCGTGAATGTGTATTAGTAACCTCGATTCATTTCACTCATATGCACTTATCAACATTTTCTATCTGCAGTGTGTGTGTGTTTTTTTGAACGAATAAAGTTGAAAAATACTCGCCATGTACCTTATAGCTTCATGAACATTATATTCTCAACTCAATCCATTTCACAGTCAGGATATGGATACAGATTAGTAGAATATCCACACATACCTACACCCTACGGATGACCTATCTGAGATCTCACTGTACATTGTATAGGCAAATAGTAATGCTCGAACTAACAAAAAACAAGATTATAGTTGATTACTTACTGGGTGATTTTGGTGATTGGCTAATCGTAATCTTCATTCTTATATACTATATGTATAGAATAAAAATGGTTTTTTCCATAGAAGAATAACATTACATCTGTATTATGAAGTCGCTCAGCGTGAGTCAGTGGGATAAAAAATACATCATACACTTTAATGCACTGAAAAGGTTGCATGGAAACAAAAACAATTCTGTCTCTTCGCATACAGAATTAAAATAATTTTGAGTAAAAAAACATTTCATTATGGGTAAGAACAGAAAAAAAAACTTTCTCCTTATATAAACAGAATGGCATTTTGTCAATGACAGTAAATGTATGAGTGGAAGCATGGGGATTAGAATAAAAACAAGATGATTATCAACACTTTCGTCTAGTCACTCTTATTCTAGCCTAGCATTGCGTCTTTAGTAAATTCATTTATAACAATAATAAAATTTCAATAAAACTTTTATTTGGTTCTTCTTTTTCAAATTTATTGTTGCATAATCAATTGTTTGCAAGTATTTGTTGATGAATGACAAAAAAAGATAATATTTTTCATGATTCAAAAAAAATTAAAAATATCGTTAAAATGTTTTTCATCGTTTTGCTTCATCTTTTTTCTCACTTGTTTGTTGTTGTGATAGTTCAGACGCAGTCTGTTCGTCTATTTGATTAATCTCTATACTAGATAACTTTTAAATCAGTTTTAATACAATTCGTAACTTTTTCCTTTCTGATCCTTTTTGGAGTGCTTCATCTAATACTTAATTGAGAACGACTGATTTCTTTTTTTAAGCTCTGCAACTTAAAGAATACAAGTCGTCTTTGTATTCTTAATTGTAAATTCCACTTTCGCCGACCATGAATTTCGCCGAAAGAAATTGCCAAATGAGTTTCTCATCGAAAGTCTATACAAACTGTATATAGTTGATCTCCAGGTAGAACGACTTTCAAGTTAGACAGTTGCTAACTGGCATGGTTACCAACTCATATGAATGGATGGGTGTGGGTGTGAGTGTGGGTGAGGTTGAGGGTCTGAGTCTGGTTTTGGGTGTCTATCACCTCACAACCTACCTACACCCATCTATCTGAGTTGGTAATCATGTCAGTTAGGAACCAAATGACATGGAAACCATCTGACTTGCAACTCGTCCCACCTGAAGATCAATTGATATAGTATCACAGATTAATTATCCAAAACACAATTGTTGCCTATAGGATCAATTCGGTAGATTTTATTTTCGGCGAAATACGTCTGCGTCGAAAAAGTTTTTCGGCGAAGGTAGATTAAATCATTTATAAAATAAAAATAAAGAATTAATATTGAGAATTGATGTTGATTGAAGAAGGTTACTTGATTTTTTGTAGAAATTATTCATACTCTTCCTTTATTAATTAAAAACAATATTATAATATAAAGTAAGCTTTCAAATACATTGTATTCTTCATCAGACTAAGCTAACTATACAATTTATACGTATTTATATAATATATGTATTTCTTCTTTTTTCTTTTCTTTAATAGTGATACAGGAGAAGTTTATATACTTGCCTAGTCACTTTACTGTCTTGTCTCCGGTATCACTATTAAAGAAAAGAAAAATGAAGAAATGCATATATAAATACGTATAAATTGTGTAGTTAGCTTAGTCTGATGAAGAATACAATGTATTTGAAAGCTTACTTTATATCATAAAATTGTTTTTAATTAATAAAGGAAGAGTATGAATAATTTGTTCAATAATATTGAGAATATAGTTAAATAGATATCGTCAGAGTACGTTTCATTTTGAAATTAGATAAACAAATAATGTACAATATAGTTATAGTTCTTTGTGATACTTATGTATGAACAAAGTCGTTAACCACTACTTCAGCTGCAATTTGTTCCGCCTCCCCCACTATGATCACTGTGGTAATGATCTGTTGTCTATGTCATTGAGAGTTTCTCACATGTCTCAACGAAGCAGGTGTCATTTTCGTCTTAGTTTATTGTGATAAATTATATTGACAAATAACATTTATCTATGGAGATTAAACCATGCACAATACAATGGTGAAACGATTCTTCACCATTGTTACACATAGGTTATAGTTAAACAAGAATATGGTTGATGATTTAATTTATAACAATGTACTTTATAAAAAAACAATCTCATAAGATTTGCTATTATTTGTGTTCCTCACAATTCTGCATTTGTTTTCCCTGAGAGAGTTTGATAGGTTAACAAAAGTAGTCTCGAAATCTCAAGATTGATCTCACGCTATTCCATACTATACCGTCAAAAAGAGAAGTATATACAAAGCAATAGAAAAAAATATTATTTTCTCTATCCATAGTCTTTCATTTCCTATTATTCATCAAATATGATACATGATAGATATTATGCTGTCTTATCGATATATGTAATATTAATATCTGTAGCAAGTAAATTAATGAGTAAATATTCATATTAAATATATATTAATGATTTTTCTTCCTTTTCTGTATAATTATCAAATAGAAAATAGCGTTGGCGTGTCAGTTTCTATATCGTATTATGACGAAGGTAAAGAAAAGAGGCGCGTAGTCAGTCAGTTTTCTTTGACGATCATGATTTATCAATAATATGATTCATAATAATTATTCTGATCAAAGTCATACTTTTTAAATCACTTCCTTCAATCTTTAATTATAATGTACGAAAATCATACACAAAAAGTGTTTTTTTCTTGTTTTTATTCCTTTCACATCGCATAGTCAGATTTTTTATAATGATGTGACTAATAGATAAATAAAAAAAGATAATTTTCAACTTAGATGGAAAAGCTATGATATAGAATATGTATATATATATACAGATGAAAATATTAATATTACCGGGTAAAGTTTTTCTAATACATTACCAATATGAACAAGTATCTACTCGGTGTACTAGTATTGGTATCATGTTTTATTCTAATTTTCAAGCAAACCACCGCTAATGTGATTATCAGTTCTGGTGAAGCTACTTTTGCTTCAAAAGATGCTGGAATCAAACGGTATAGATTTTCAAAAATATAATCAAATAGAATTTATATTTATTTTGATTGATTAGTATAACAATGCAAAAAGTCTACCGTACATGCAATGATGATACCACTCAATACAAATGTCACGGCAGAGGAAAACATACGAAAACAACAAAAACAAAAAGATCTTTATCAGCGACTGAAACAACACTTGATCAGTTTTGGGGTGTAAGTATTTTGATTTTTCTCATCTGCATGTTATATGTTTTTAATTAATAGGCATATTGGATGGGTTTAATAACAATTGGTACGCCAGGTCAAACATTTTATAGTCAGCTTGATACGGGATCATCTGATCTATGGGTTCCAGGCCAACAATGTGGCGCTGCATGTGGTAAAAGAAAGAATATTCTCTTAATTATCAAATGCTAATTTTTCGTTTCTAATATCAGGTGGTAATCATACATATAACCCTAGTTTATCATCAACATACAAAGCATGGAACAAGAATTTTACGATTCTTTATGGTGATGGTACTACTACCAGCGGAGTATTTGCAAATGACACAGTGAATGTATGTAAAAGTTATCTACATAAACAAGAAGAGAATAACGTTTTGTTCGATTTAGATTGCCGGAATATCTATTACTGGTCAACCATTTGCTATTATTAGTTCAGCTTCAGGTATGAGTTGGCGAACCAATGACGGTATACTAGGTTTAGGGTATCAAAAAATTGCACAAGGTGGTGAAAATCCTCTGGTGTGGTCGATGTATTTGGCTGGACAGTTAACTCTCCCAATCTTTTGTTTTTGGTTCGGACCGTAAGTGTATATTTTCATTGAATATTAAAAAATTCCTGTTCAAAATATATTCAATAGAGTCTCAACTGGTTCGGATACAGGTGAATTAATTTTTGGTGGTTATGATACAACGAAATATACAGGCTCTTTTACATATGCACCAGTTAGTGTTCAGGGTTATTGGGAGTTTATTGCTGATAATGTTAAGTTATCAACTGGATCAACTACAAACGTAATAGCTAATTCCATTAGCGCTATTTTGGATTCGGGAACGACAGTTGCCATGACAGTTCCAACAGCTTATTTCAATACGATGAATACATTAATAGGAGCTACATACGATTCAAACAGCGGATGGGTAAGAAATATTTATATTTGTTCCACCTATTAACAAGAGTTTTATAATAATAATTTCATCATTTTATTCTAGTACACAGTCGACTGTCAAACAAAACCCTTATCAGCTTTCCCAAATATCACAGTTACAATTAGCGGAGTTCCATTTATATTAACACCCTTAATGTACATTATTATTAGTGGTGGTCCTTCTACATATACATGCATTAGTATGATTTCCTCATTGGACGCAACGGATCAGCTTGGAAATCCAATATGGATCCTTGGAGATTATTTTATGAGACGTTTCTATAGTGTATTTGATATGCAACAGAATCGAGTCGGATTAGCTTTATCAACTTCCTATTCAACTGTACAAGCAGTACCTAGTACGTTATTTCCTGCAGCTGCAACCGTAACTCCTTCGTCAACAACAACAACCACATTAACATCAACTGCAACAAAACCGTCAACAACAACAACCACATCAACAACAACGTCAACATCGACATCAACGACAACAAAACCATCAACAACGTCAACAACAACAACAACCACATCAACAACTTCATCAACAACAAAACCGTCAACAACAACAACATCAACAACTTCATCAACAACAAAACCGTCAACAACAACAACAACAACATCAACAACAACATCAACAACCACGTCAACAACTACATCAACAACCACATCAACATCAACATCAACTACAACAAAATCATCAACAACCACATCAACAACAACGTCAACATCAACGTCAACATCAACTACAACAAAACCATCAGCAACGACAACAACTCCGCGTGTTGTAACTTCATTAGGTAATAATAGTAGTTATTTTATCAAGCTTATCTTCAATTTTCTTTGTAGCACCAAATACAACCTGTCTTGTTAATATTCCATCATCTGTCTATATCTACAAGCCATCACTTTTATCTTTTCTAACAACACTAACAACATATCATGATGATATTGCTTTATGTGCTGGTGTTAGCGTTATGTTCAATGGCTGGGGTGGTGGATACTCTTATTTAGAAAACAACGTTGTTGTTTATGGTGGTGGTGGGGCTGGTCGCACGATTTTTCTTAAAGCTGGTGCACGTTACTATTCCTTAGGTGGTGGATCTCATACTGTCTATTACGAACAAGGTGCACAATTTGATGGTGCTACATATACTCGACTATGTAGTAAAATAATATTTCAATATCCATCAACAGCCACTTGTTGATAATTTGAAATCCTCGCAAATATAACTTATGGACTAAATTTTATTTTAATTTTTTATCTTTTCATTTTACTCTCGAAATAGTTAACCATTTATTTTTTTTATTTTACTCTTGAAATAGTTAATCATTTATGCTTTTATCTTACTCCTGAAATAGCTAATCATTTATCTGTTTTCTATAATAAAACAAGATTTTATTCTTCATAAAGATCTCTTAACGAAATGTGAAATCATGAGGATGAGATATTTATATCCTCACCATCAAGATGGTTTTATGAATAATATCCTAAGGTTGTCATATTAATCAAATTGATTACATGAGTCAGGATGGTACAAGGCATCTCTCATCCTTTTTCAATGTATACAATAACGTATACATCATCGCCTTCATTCATAGAAAAAAAATTTCATCAGTTACTTCAACGGAATCTCTATCGGATGAGCTTTACTTACTCATTCTTTCGTATTTCCATAGATTCGATCTAATCTATGCGTTCAACAATTTAAATCAACGTCGATAATCATTCACAATTACTTCACTCATATATTCGCTGGTTCAATAACCATATATCATTCACAGTATTCGGATACATTTTTAACTAAAGTTCTTTCGTTACCATCATTATCAGTATTGTCAGTGACAAGTTGTAATCAAGATACAGTCAAAATCATGAAGATCTCATCACTCTCTAACTTAACAATATTAACTTTGCGACCCACGTAGATATTTACAACCGGTGACTTTCAAAATGTTTCACAGATGGCCTACATTAAATGTCTCTCCATCAATATACACGATATTGAAGTGCTAACAAAATTCTTTGAGGTTATGATAAACATTAAACAACTGATCAAGGTACAGATTACATTAGATAAGCTGCAGATAGATATTGAAAGCACTTACGCTGAAACACGTTTCAAAAAATTTCGAATTCTCATATGCGACTTTATTCGTCTACAATCGTTTCACTAAGAAATTTGTACGAAATATAAACGCGACGCAGCTGGAAAAAAATTTAACTCCTAAACAAATATCGCATTGCAGTACTCTCATTGCATATCATGAACAATGTTTTGGAGATTCTCCTGCTATACTTAAAACTCTCATAGATAGTACTTGGAATATTTCTATTCGATCACCCAAATTGAACAGCCTGTATATGGAAAGTTCTGATACAGAAATAATTATTGAACTATTTCAAATGTTATTTTCAAGCGATCGATCGCATATGGGAAAAGGCAATTTGTTTGTACTTGGTTTAAGTTTTCAGTCAAATTTCAATCGACGTTTTTTTTCTCCTGATATTCTAACATCATTTCTTCATCATATACATCAATACTTTCTTTGATTGACTCAATTAGTTATTCAAACACTAGTTCAAAAGAATAGCATTCAGGTAAACGTAAGGGTTGGCGGTCAAGCATATTTTAGAAAAAAAAACTTCTTGAATAAATTTTGAAATTGCTTTTTATCTATATAAATCAATGTGTACGTCTACATCTATGTGGTACGAATAATTTAGAAAATGTCATTCGTAATTCTTTTGAAGTGGCAACATAAACGAGAACATCTAAAGCAGAATTAGCATATCCAAGCCAAGAGAATATTTTGAATAAAAGTTCATGATAATGTTCGTCTTTTAAACGAATGAAAAATACACCACTTAATAAGAAATATACGAAGTAAGGTAGCCAACAAAATACAAATGCACCCATAATAATACCAATGAATTTCGCTGCTTTTTGATCTTTGGAAAATTTTTTCCAAGAAATTTTAGTTTGTACAGGTTTTCTTTTAGTTTTATTCATTGATTTTTCATTAATCGATTCTATACTTGGATTATGATATTTACCATGATGAATACGAAGTGTTATTAGATCTGAAGGTGTGGACGTTGTTGATTGTTCTTTCTCATTATTTTTTTTCAAATGCAATTTTGGAATCAATAATTTCGCGGATTTAATTCGATAATGATGTTTATAACCAGTACGAAGTGCTACAGCTTGTTGTCTTGCTGCTGCATAAACTTGAATATAAAAATAAATCATAACAATTAATGGTAAATAAAACGAGATAATCGAAATGAATAAGATATAATATGGATTATTTGGAAATTCACATTCTTTAAATGACGATGAAGATGTTGATAGTGTTTCATTTGATATCGATAATTGTCCTAAATGAAATACAATACTTATCTTCGGATTAAAAAATTTTTTCTTTACATACGAGAAACTGTTTGTGCTGTTCCAAAAACAGCTACAGCTGGAAATGCTATGACTGCCGACGTTATCCATATAATTGATAATATATAATCCCATTTTTTTGATAGAAATGAATTTAGATATTCAATTGGTTTTGTAATTGCTATATAACGATCTAATCCAATAATACATAAAGCAAAAATTGACGCTGTAGAAGCGAAAATATCCATTGAATGCCAATAATCACATAGAAATTGTAAATTTCGTCGAAATAACCAATACTCATCATTAGTCATTTCAAATATAAATGCAAATGGCATAACAATTAATCCAACTAAAAGATCTGCAAATGCCAATGATGCAATATAATAATATGTCGATGTATGTAAAGTATTTTCACGAATAATAACATATATAATCAATAAATTTCCTAATATTATAAATAAACATAATAATAGTAGAAAGATACCAATTGGATATGCTTGCCATTGTATATCTGTAATTGTAATATTTGTTGTTAATGAAAATAATTCCATACTTAAAAAAAAATTAATTTGATAAAACAAGTTGAATATTCTTATACGAGATACGTCAATGTCTTGTCTTAATAGAATAGAAAGACAAGAGAATAATGCATGTTATTATAACAAATCCGGCGGATGTTATTAAATGAGTAAATAACATGGAGAATCAAGCGATAATTATAAGAAAGAAAAAAACATGCCTAGAATTCATTGATACATACATATCGACGAAAAACATCAGATGATTACTTATCATTAAAGTTATAAATCGATATTGGTAGGAAGAATGTCTATTCGTACGATACGAATGAATGCATAGTTATCAACTGATAGAGTTAGAGCATGTGTTCGTTTTCCTCCTCCTCCTCCTTTATATATATTTTTTCCGTTCTGTTTATTGATGTTTTGCAGCTTCTTCTTGATTAAATATGAAAGCTATTAATATATAGAAAGAAAAGATCTCAAAACAACAGAGGACAAAACAATGATTGATTATCTGTCTATAAAATATGAATATAAATTATTTCTTAAGACAATCAATGACTTTTTTTGTGAACATTTTTCTTAAGATAAAAAACTAGAAGTGTAAGGATATGAGTTGGATTGTAGGTATCTATTCTACTCTCATTGTTACACACATACCCTCAAGATATATTGAAAAAAAAATTCTCATTGTAATTAATCATTCCATAGATAAGAATCACTCGACTTCGTCATCTTTAACTATCAATATGTATGCAATACAGATGTACAATAGAAATTAAGAAATAATATCGAAAATGTAGTTCAATAGATATTTTAAAAGTATATTTTATGCTGAACTTAGAAAAATAGTATACAATATATTTATAGTTGTTCACATGTATTAACGAAGTCATTAATGTGTACTTCAACTACCTCCACCTCCACCACAGCCACCACCTCCACCTCCACCTCCACCACAACCTGCTCCACCACCGCCACCTCCACCACAACTAGCTCCGCCACCTCCACCACAACTTGATCCACCACTTCCACCACAACTTGATCCACCACCTCCACCGCAGCTCGCTCCGCCGACACCACCACAGCTGGCTCCACTGGCCCCACCACAGCTTGCGCCACTGCCTCCACCACAGCTACTACCTCCACCATGATGGTGATGATGATGACTTGTGATGAGTGGAGGTGCTACACCAACAGCACCAATATCATGAAAGTTATTATAAGGATATCCAGGCACATGTGGTGAATATCCATAGCCGTAAGGAGTACCGTAGTTATAATTTCTTGAGGGCGCTGGGCGTGGATAACGATGTCGGCGTCTTGGTTTCTGTCGTTGAGAGCTCGAAGCATATTTAAACCAAGAAGGGAACATTTTCTTTTTTATCTACTATAATAAATTGTAGTGATCAATGATATTTATAGATGAAAAAAACCGATGCGGAGTATCAATGACAAAACAATGTGCGTCATTTACCTTTGTCCCACATTAAATATAAATGAATGAAAAAGTAATGACGTTATGAATAATAGGCAACGATTTCTTTTATAAAAACAGATTATAGTTAAACGATTGTAATATCTCGTTCTTTATGTGATATGTCTGATATCATCCTTCAAGTGTGACGTAATTTCTATACAGTCTAATCAAGAAAAATAACATGGATTATTTTTTCTGTTTAATCAATATTTACAATCGAGTGCGAAATGTAGGATTGTCGTATATTCATAGTACCTTTCCGTTACGTAGAACATTGCCAGTCAGATCGAATTTTCATTCGAAAAAAAGAATAACAAAGGTGTATGTTACAATACACAAATCAAAACATATTTTTGTCGATAATTATAGAGGAAAAAAAGGTCATATATAATGATATAAAAGAAAAGCGAGTATTGGTCATATTTACTTGTAAAGTAAACACGCGTAGATAAGTAAAAACAATTGCTTTCCTTGCATTATATTTTACAATTTAGATTCTGATAAGACTTATTATGCGACGTTATCATCACATAAAATGATATATATATATGTACTTAATGAAATTGATGCATTCATTGATTATTACCGATCCTTCAACTATACTGAATAATCTTGAACAAATATTGATTAAATTGAGATAAATTCATTCGTTTTATATATTTAAGGGTGTGGATCCGAATATCTGGTATACATGAAAATCATATAAAGTATATAAGGACAAAAAAAAATAAATATTAAAGAAAAATGTGTCCTTTAAATTAATAGAATAAACATTATCTACTATTGTAAAAATATCATAACGAAATAAACTATTCATTTGTTAGATTAGATAAAACATTGAACATAATAAAGAAATAATCATATAGCACTCCGTTTAATGTACTTTTGACTTAGATACATTGTCAAAGTCATGATAATTATTAATATCATATTCTTCTCAGTATTGTAAAGAAAACGAATAGTAGTTTCATTTGCTTTGAGAAAAGCAGGTAATGGATGTAAACCATTTGTAATATTACTTTCAAATGGATTATAATTATTTCCAAATAACCATCGCATTAAATAGTAATACATTCGAATTGGAGTAAAAACTCTATGAAGAATTTCAGGTAATACTTCATAACTAAACAAAAAAGGAACAATAGATTTGCTCGTTTCTATACTATGTTATATTCACCTAGCAACATAAACTGAAGTTGAAATATTATTGACAAGTAAATTACCCGTTGTGGTTAATGGTGAATAAAAACCAGTACGAAAAGACTGGATTATTTTATTTATTTTAACTGTACGATTTGGCATTATAAGCTGATGTTTATTTGCTACTTTAGAGGCTTGTATATATATTGTTGTGTTCAATTCGATATCAATAACGGCAATATAATGAGTACCCGTTAAACTAAGAAAATGTCCGTCGAATGTTATAAATGTATAGAAAGAAACTAAATAAATAAAGGAATCAATCGTAATTTAAAAAGTAGTAAATATATACTTGAACTATTTGATTCGGAATGCATCATTAAAATCATTTCATCTTCGATTAATGTTTGTCCATCGTTAGCAAGTGACCATATACGATCACCTACTTGTAATTGATCAATTCGTCGATAATTTCCATTAACGAGATTAACAAAATCTCCACCAAAATAACATCCTGAATCTTTAACAAAATCATTTGTTGTTATCATCGTGATGTTACTGCCTGAAGTATTATTTGCATCAATCATTAAATCTATCAATAAAAGAATTATATTTTTTTAACATTGTCTTCAACTGATAAAATTAAAGCATACTGTTGTTTGTCGATTCGTCGTTTTTAATAGATGTAATAATAAATGCTAAGGCTATGACAAGTGCAATACCAACGATAGTAGTAAGAATGAGTCCAAGTAAACATTTAAGCTTATTACCACATAAACAGTAAGAATCGGAAATAGATGCTGAACGATTTTTTCTACATATGCAGATAAAGTGTACATAAAATCATTTATGATGTTGAAATATTTTGAATAATACGTACCGATAAGAGCTTGGAGGAACATATGGTAAATCATAAACAACAGGCATAATTGCATTTTGGCGAGAGTTGATCATGGTTAATTTATACTATTAATCTCGATATAAGTATTTCTAAGACTAGATTACCGTTGCTGTTATTTTATATTACATATGTGAGTAGGCTTTTTTTTGTTTTGAAAACTGAAGAATTTAAAAATAAAAAAACATGCTAAAGGGTCAGACAAAAAATCAATAAAATCGAATAACTTCAAGCTCATATTCGAGTATTCATTATAAGGAAAGATGAGAAGTTAATATTTATTACTAAATCTACAATCTTTTATAAAGTATATTACATGAAATTTGAGCAAGTCATTCTGACGACAACAACTTCATCAAGTAGTTGATAGGATATGATCTCAAATTTTATCTACAAATAAGAGATGTATAAAACCTAAAATTATAATGGAATTTCTACAAATGATTCCATCTCACTCAGAATTCATAGATAATACTAAGATTTTCATCGTATTGAAAAAGCCGATCTCTTTAGTGGAATCAAAACATGCATTCATATTCTTTTAATGTTTCTTGTGTCGACAATGAATAACATTTGAACAAAAATGTATGTCAGTCCTTGTAACATTCTCTCATCAATTGCAAAACTATTCTAAGTATCAAATATTGGTTTTTATAAAGTGATCGATTTATTAATTATGGTTTGAATATTCAATCCTTCATATTGCTTCGAAATAGAAATAAAACTGAAAAAGTTGATCTCTTATAAATAACGTCAAACACATTACTACGCAATTCTAATATTTATGTTTTGTCATTAAGAATAACATGAGTCAAAAAAAAATATTTTGCAATAACATGACGTCGATCGTGTTATATTCCCTGATAAAACTATTTCCTCGGAACATATCAGTAAACTCAGACAAACTGAAGCTTTAATCATGATTTTTGTTACAAGAGTTATTCATGCTATCAATATCTAATCTTACTTAGACAATGTTTTTTTTTCATTATAGCATATGTCTTCAAAAAAAAAAGTAGACGCATAGCAATTAAAATAACAGATGGTTTGAGTTAATAATTACAAAAGCTTGTTTCAGTAAATTTCTACGACATTAATTTATTTTATTGAAAAGAACTGACGATAATATATATACATACACAATATTTTAATAATCAAAAAAATTAATTAGTTTAATATTGTAAGTTATTTCGATTGTATATTAATGTTCACATTTTCGTTTGCTTAGACTTTATCAATGCCAGAAGCAACATATCGTATATCAATTTCATCAGCCACAACAGAGTATATATAATCTTTATTATGCAGAATATATATTAAATAAATTTGAATTATTTAGAAGTACAGTTGCTAGAAGAAAAAGATTATGGATTATTATTGGAATTGTTATCGCTATCGTAGTCATTGCAATAATTGTTATTCCAACAAGTGTCGTTCTTACTAAAAAGTCAAAAACAACAACAACAACAACAACCTTACCAAATTTAACATCATTAGTGACAGAATCAACGAAATTATTAGCAACTACTGATAAATTGCAATCGACAACGTTTGGTATGTAATCAGTTATATGTTTGATAAATACGAATTATATTTCCATGTTCTTAAAAACTATAAATTAAGTACATAGTTATATACGTTTGCTTCTCTACATAAGCCAAACTATTATCATAATTAATGTTTTAATTATAATATTATTCATTATTATTTCTTTGCCGTTTTAGATAATGTAATAACAGTAGATACATCAACAGAGGCTACAACAACAGAAATAACAACAACAACAAAGACTACAACAACAGCAACAACAACAACAACAACAGAGACTACAACAACATCAACAGATTTATTTATTGAAATATGAAATAGAAGACCTACTTACAGTTTTTACTGTAAATCATATTTATAATATATCCTAGAGAAAATATTCTAACTCTTCATTTATAAAAATGTGAAATAGATTTCCAAATAACGTTTATTCTTCTATAAATATGAAGTAGTTCAAACGGCTTTCCGCGATAAATCAATATACAATAAATATTTTGTACTGTACGAAAGACATCGACAAAATAGATTCTACACTGTTTTTATGAAAAAGTACTAATTACAAAGTATTTTTAATCCATATACGAGAATAACTTCCAATGAAATACTCGGTTATGCATATGCTATGTTGCAAAATATTGATAGAATATATATTGATAAGAATTTTCAGCAAAATAGTTTATCAAATAAACTAATAATTAGATTTTATCTAGTTAACTATCATTACAAACATAAACAGAATGCGAAATATCCATATATTTCAACATTGAAAAACAAACACAAATACATTTAATATGAGTATTGAAGTTGCTCAAATATCGTAAAGTCATTTCTCTGAACAATGTAATTTACTTGTATCGTTTTTTAAAGCGATTTCAAATGTTTTTCTGGATCTTTTATGTATACACAATAGTAGATGTAAATATTGCTTCCATAAATTTACATTAGATTATGGAAACTTCATAAATATAAGAAATAAAGAATAATATTGATCGAACGTAATCATTACATTTACTAACTGATAAAAAAATTATCTGAGTTTAAAAACCAAATAACATTATCTTTTCTGCTATACGTTATTTCAGTTTAAATCATTACGATTGGACAAGAAGATTGAAGAAAGAATGGATTTTGTAAACTATGTTCATCTAGGACTATTTTATATTACTTGTTGCCACTATAGCAATAACAATCACATTAAAAAATATAATGATGATAATAAATCAATTGCATAATTTATATCTAAGAATGTTCTATTTCTTATTGTTATAAAGCAATATTCATAGATCATATATTATTAAAACATCCTTCCAAAACATGAAAAGTAGTTGCAATAAAAAGCGGTATGCGTACTTCCTTAGTCAATAGTGTACATAAATATTGTTTAGCCATATAATATGTTACATCTGTTTTATAATTAAATATATGTTGAAAATTTCGTACATAAACAAAATGAATTTATTGAGAAAATTATCATATTTATTTTCTGTAGTTCTTAAAAAACTTCAACAAGATTTTTTAATTTCATTGTAAAAGACAATAAGCTAGTCATCATCTAGACAAAAATATATTTCTTCGGTTTCTTAAATTAATTGAATACATCAGATAGAAAAGATATTGAAAATTAGAAAAGTTTCATGTAGGATGACTAATGATGATTTATATTATGAGTAAAACGAAACCGTGACTCCATGTTTTTTTTACTAATATACGGCATTTTCTATGTATACATTCGCAACATAAATTCATCACTGGTTGTTTTCTCTTATGTGATTTTATTCGAATTTAGAGATATTCACAATTCTATCATTTATTTTATGTTGATAATTTCGATGATCGGAATATTGTCCTTATTTCATCACATATATATATTCAAAATATTTTTATATAAACCTTCAAATGTCTATCTTATTTATAGAAAAAGACGTCAAGAGTAGATCCACACTCTATAACTTTTTTATATCAAGTTTATAGTCTATTCATTTTAATGTTTCATATTATTAGTATTTTATTCTTAATAGAAAATAAAATAAATACCAGTCAGCGGAAAGTCGTTCTCCTAAATAATTTTTTATTATCGATTTATCTCTAATGATTATTTAAAAAAAGAAAAACGACATCCTTGATCATGAACGTATTATTGATTGATAACTTACACGGCAAAAAAAAGATTTTTTTTTTATGATTCTGTTACTTTTCGTTTTACCAATAGGCCCGAGAAAAATAGTAGTCATTCATCGAATTACTTTTGCTGTTCTACTATTCTATAGTGTCAACCATATGATAAAAGATTTTTTTTCGTGTTCATTGAAGAGATAAAACGAAAGAATACAAATCCTCTCTTACAAGGATAATATCCTTGAACAAGAAAAAAATGACAGCAGTGATTCGCTTAATAAGTAAGTATGTACGTGATTGCTCCTTTACCCTATCCTTAATATTTATTGACATTGACTCCAGTTGATTTTCATGTTTGCAACCTCACCCTTAAATTATTAGGTACTCGTATATATTTTTCAATTTTCTATTCTCACAATTATTAATTGGTATACATTAATATTTAAACTATTCCATCGATGGCAACTGACGCTATTAAAAGTCGTTGTATTACATGTGATAAAGAAAAACGTACTGTTCGATGTGAAGGTTGTTTACAATTATTTTGTTATGATCATTTAACAGATCATCGTCAAGAATTAAATAAACAATTACATCATGTAGAATTAAATCTTGCGGTTTTTCGTCAAACACTTAATGAACAAACAAATCATCCACAAATACATTCATTAATAAAAGAAATTAATAAATGGGAAGAAGAATCAATTCATACAATTGAAAAAACAGCTAGGGAATGTCGAGAAGTTTTATTGAAACATAGCAATGAGCATTTTAATGATGTGGAAATTAATTTAACGAAATTATCGGAACAATTAAAAGATATTCATCAAGAAAATGATTTTAATGAAATTGATTTAAATCAATTTAATCTAAAATTAAAACAATTATCACAAGAACTTGATAAACTATCAACAATTTCAATTCAACAAGAGACTACACCACTTATTCATAAAATTTCGGTTTTTGTATCAACTGGTAAGTTTATTAAATAGATATAGAAAATTATTGACATGAGTCTGTAAATTAAAAGGGATGTCCTATGTAAATATATTTTTTTTTCGTTAGAAAAATGAAGATTAATTTACAGTTATGGATGATCAAAAATAAAAATTAGTTGTTGAATTCATAATTATTCTATTGTAATTTACAAGTACAATTTAAGATTTTTTAAAATAATTAATCTATTACAGACACGGATAAAAGCGTGAAATATTCTTCGCCTTTTGACATATTCACCTTGTATGTAATAGATAAACTATTAAGGACACAAAATGTATAAGAAAAAAAAAGCATATCCCTTAATACTTAAGACACGATGTGAATCCGGATTTTAATTATACACTTAATATTAAGAATGAAAAATTCGTATTTTTCTTCGAAACTGATTCGATCGGGTTCAGATATCGATATGGAATAAAATTGAATTATCATGGTTGAGTGATTTGACTATTCGACACATATTTACAATGTGGTATAAGAAACTTATATAATTAGCATTCTGATCTTTGATTGATCTATTTCAACCGATGTATTTCAATTTTAAACTGTGAAAAGATATATGAAAGTGAAATTACACATAGAAAAGAAAGAAGAGTTCAATTGATTTCTACTATAGTTAAGCGATAGATTTAATGAGATTATACTTCTTTATTCAATATTCAAATCTAGATGATTAAAATCGTTTGTGATTGATATTTTATCTTGTTTTTTTAGTAAAAGCTATTTCTTCTATAAATATTAATAATCATACAAAATGGAAACAATACGGATCGACTATTGCTGGAGGTTATGGTGAAGGTGATCAATCTAATCAACTCTATTGGCCTTATGGAATTTGTGTTGATGATGATCAAACAATTTATATTGCTGACTGGTGGAATCATCGTATTGTCAAATGGAAATATGATACAAATCATGGACAAGTTGTTGCTGGTGGAAATGGAAAAGGAAATCGAAGAGATCAATTGAATCTTCCAACTGATGTAATTCTTGATAAAAATAATGATGCTCTTGTTATATGTGATTGGGGAAATAGACGAGTAGTACGTTGGTCTCGTCGAAATACAAAAAATCGTCAAACAATCATTTCTAAAATTGATTGTTCACAATTAACAATTGATCATAATGGAGATCTTTATGTTTCAGATTGGAGAAAGAATGAAGTAAGACGATGGAAACAAAATGATAAGAAAGGAATAGTCGTAGCTGGTGGAAATGGTAAAGGCGATCATCTCAATCAACTTAATTTTCCTACTTATATTTTTGTTGATAAAGAAGAGTCAGTTTATGTATCAGATTCGGGTAATGATCGTGTAATGAAATGGATGTCAAGTGCAACAGAAGGTATTGTTGTTGCTGGTGGACAAGGTGAAGGAGATAATCTTGCACAATTATCATATCCAGAAGGAATTATTGTTGATCATTTGGGTAATGTTTATGTAGCTGATTCAGGTAATAATAGAATTATGCGTTGGTCAAAAGGATCTCGTGAAGGTTCAATTATTGTTCGTGGAAATGGCGAAGGAAAACAACCAAATCAATTCAATTGTCCTATTTGTTTATCATTTGATCAAGAAGGTAATCTCTATGTCGTCGATTGGGGTAATCATCGAGTGCAAAAATTTGATGTTGAGGTTGATTGAAAGCTTTTTCTTTCTTTCTTTTTTTTTCTTCTTCTTCTTCTTCATACAATGACTTTTCATGATTATAATTCTGTTTTTGTCAAAGTGTGTTTTGCTTTTAAAATGAATAAAAATCAAATAAATTAGTTTTATTCTTTATTAACCTATCTCAATTATTTTAAGGAGTATACATTTAATGGTTCATATTATAATACCTTTTCTTTTTTGGTAATTAAATTTAGCTGAATATTAATTTTACGTAATTTTCAATAAGTTAAATCAGGCGTACTTTAAGAACAAAATAATACTATGAAACAGAAATCAACGCTTATCGATTTGTTTACGTGAAATGTTCAACAAAAAAAAGAATATCCTTGATGATCAGTGTATTATTGCCTGATATAAATTATATTACACGAAAAAAAAGAAATGAATATTTTATCGTTCTATTACTTTTCGTTTTACCAATAGGCCCGAGAAAAATAATACTCATCCATCGAGGTACTTTTTACTATTCTATTGTTCTATGGTGTCATCCATGTGATAAAAGATTCATTTTCATGTTCATTGAAGAGGTAAAAAGGGAAAGAATACAAAATCCTCTCTTACAAGGATAGCATCCTTGAACAAAAGAGCGACAAAAGGGACTTAGTAAACGTATGCATAACTACTCTTCAGTGCGTCCCTAATGTTGGTTGACATTGACTCGTCTGGGTATTCGATGTTCACTAACTAATATCAAATCCTCATATTGCCTATTTTTCTATTATCTTCGATATTCATAAACCTTAGCTTTTTTTTTTATTTATACATACATATATATATATATATTACTATTTAGCTATTCCATCGATGGCAACTGAAGTTATTAAGAGTCGATGTATTACATGTGATAAAGAAAAACGAGCTGTTAGATGTGAAGGTTGTTTACAATTATTTTGTTATGATCATTTAACAGATCATCGTCTTGAATTAAATAAGCAATTAGATCATATTGAACTGCATCGTGATCGTTTTAGACAAACACTTAATGAACAAGCTAATCATCCACAAATCCATATATTAATTAAACAAATTGAACAATGGGAAGAAGAATCAATAAAAACTATTCAACAGACAGCAACAGATTGTCGACAATTGTTAATTCAACATACAACGAAAAATATTCAACAAATTGAAACTAGTTTATCAAAATTATCTGATCAATTAAGAAAAATTCGTCAAGAAAATGATTTTAATGAAATAGATTTAAATCAATTCAATCAAAAACTAAAACAACTATCAGATGAACTTAATAAACCATCGAGTATGTCAATTCAACAAGAAGCTGTACCACTTATACATAAAATTTCTGTTATTTTATCATCGGGTAAGTCAATTGAATTTGTTGAAAGTTATGAACTGCATTAGGTATTTTTTGTTTATCAAGAAAAAAAATTTTTAATAGTAAATTCTAAGATAGAAATTTATTGAAGAAAAAATAACTAAATCTATCATAGTTATTTTATATATTTCGGCAGAATTTATAAATTCAAAAATGAACAAAATAGATGAGACGCTTTGAATTTTTTAAGATTTAAGAAATAACCTTGAAGGATTTTTTTTTAACTTGAGATGAAAATTTATAAAAGAATGACATTAAATATTAGTAAAACATGATATAGATTAATCGAATGATATTTGATCATTCAATTACAACAAATAAAAAATCATAAAATCGTTCTCTATCGAAATTAAAAATTATAAGCTACTTTACTGTTTTCAAATTTCATCCGAGCAAATATTTCGATTATTCAGATTAAGATGAATTTGATAATTAAATATAAACAACAATTTGAAAAGATAATAATTCAACCACATGACAGAGTTAATCTGATATTGCTTTATATAATGTATTTGAGAGAAAATTTTCCACGCCGATAAATACATATTTTAAATAGAATACATCTTTATTTGAAGGTTTTTGTTGTAATCCTATAGGAAAGTTTAATAATACACCAGAAAATATTTTGAATACTACAAAGTGGAAACAGAATGGAGCAACTATTGCTGGTGGAAATAAAGAAGGTAGTCAAGGAAATCAATTGTCTTATCCTGATGGTATTTATATTGATGATGATGATCGAAAGATTTATATTGCTGATTCTTCAAGCCATCGTGTTGTTAAATGGAAATCTGGTGCAAATCATGGTCAAATTGTGGCTGGTGGGAATGGATGGGGTAATCGAATAGATCAATTAAATTGTCCAACAGATGTAATTCTTGATAAAAAGAATGATTCACTTATTATTTGTGATTGGGGAAACAAGCGTGTAGTACGATGGCCACGAAAAAGTCGTACAAATCAACAAGTAATTATCGCGAATATTGATTGTTCTCAATTAACTATGGATAGTAATGGAGATCTTTATATTTCTGATTATGAAAAACATGAAGTAAGACGATGGAAACCAGGAGATACAACTGGAACAATTGTTGCAGGTGGAAATGGAAAAGGTGATCGTCTTAATCAACTTAATTACCCGACTTATATTTATATTGATCAAGAACATTCAGTTTATGTATCCGATTGGAATAATCATCGTGTGATGAAATGGATGAAAGGTGCAAAAGAAGGTATAGTTGTTGCTGGTGGACAAGGTCAAGGAAGTAGTCTTTCACAATTATCCAATCCTCAAGGTGTAGTTGTTGATCATTTGGGTAATGTTTATATTGCTGATTCATGGAATCATCGAATAGTTGTTTGGT